ATATAGTGAAGTGAAGAATTCATATTATTATATTCGAAGTCTGTAAATCGCTTTTTTATCTTCTCAACTCAGATTTCTGGAAGGCGAATTATGGTTCGATTTCTAGCATATTAACGACATGCTCTTGATGAATATAATATGCACATTATCGGTGTAATATCTCCCACAATAATCACCAGAATATCAAACAAATCAACCCATTGATTCATATTTTCAGTTGTTATTACCAACATTCAAGCGATTATAAAACCATAGTATGTGTAGAAAATTTCAAAATCTCCTTGTAAATGTATACCATGGCTGCTGATGCAAACCCATCTCCATTGGGATCTATATGCGAACAGTGGTAAATAGCGTATTTCAGTCAATTGCATAATATTTTCAATGCCCATCTGACACGACTTTACCACATATGACATGTAATACGAAATATATTTATATGAACATGTAATTCAAAATGTTAATAAGTTTTATTTTTTATGAATTCGTACGTATGTTCTCAAACAAACTAATGTCACGTGTATTCTTTGTTAATTTTGCAAGACTCCGTATATTTTGTAGAATCACAAAAGAGAATAGGCGCCACATAAATGTGTTCTTCAAAGATGTCGTTATTTCAAATTTGAAAAACAATATGACCGAATTTCAGGAGATTTTTACAAGAACGTGTTTCAGACACTTCCTACATATGAAGTATATTTGGATACAACGCCAAACGATACACAAAATGCTATTGATGGAAGTAATACAATCCAATGACAATGAGATGTGGTTCAAGGTTGCCGGCAATCTACTTAGATTTTCTATTTAAGAATTTTGCATGGTAACTAGATTGAGATGTGCCTGAGAAGATAACACAAATATGTTTAAAATTGGTGAATGCAGACTAAAAAAGAAATACTTCAACGACATAAAGAGTGTGTATAGAAAGGACGTGCAACATATATTTCAAAATCTTCCCTAAGAACACGCTAGACGATGGCATTGTGAAATTAGGTGTGTTGTACCTTGTATCGTCCTTCCAGTACACAACTCCACTGCCCACCATGGTAAATGAGGCATTGATGTGGATCGTGGACTCTCCACATATGGACACAGCAAGACGAGTTGTATCAAAATGCATACTACCATATGAAGAATGCACTGGAGAAGCCTAAACAGATGGAATGGGATTCGAAATCTATAATATCATATAGACTCTATGGCTTCTCACTAGTTTTTCAAATTTGGAGATATGAGTCGATATCCCTCTTATCCGGTGAAGTATGTAACATAGTAGCTCATACTTTCCAAGCATTTTGAACTGGTCAACGGATGAATCACGTGTTTCAGCGGCAGAATTTGATAAGATGCTATATGATCTGGATGAGGTATGCTTAAAGGCTCTCAAATGCACAATTCCAACATGTTCTATTTGTTTGGTCCATTTTTACGTGAACTTCATTTAATTTGTATTAAAACATTATTTTTCCTTTTTAATTTTATTAGGTTGAGGTACTGGTGATCCAGCTTAGCAAAGAGAAACTGCGAGCATGTTATTTCGTTGGGCTATGCATCAAGGAACTAGCATTTAAACCAATTGCTATCTGCTGTTGTGCTCCTGAAGTCATGAACGTTCATGTTCAAAATCAAAAAGGAAAAAATAAACCTAGCACATCCAAGGGTCCTTTCGTCCCTTGCTCCAAACTGCTGATAGCCGACATATCAAAAGAGCGACATGTTGTTAGTGTTTAAAAAATGAAAATGAGAACAAAGATGGTTTGAATATAATCAGGGTTTTTATTTAGCGATTTCCCATATATGTTTATGTATATCAAATAACATCACCAACATTTTTATTGTTAATTGTAGCTTCCCGTCCTCAAGATTTTGAGGGATTTACAATGCCATGTGTTGGGCATTCAAGCTAAACAGACTCAAATTTTGGATTCATATAATATGATATGAAGTTGGATATTTAGTGGATCGAGAGGTATGTGGAAACCAAGTATGACTATCTGATGGAGGAGCTGAGGCGAAAAAATGAATGCAGGCACCATGATAATGGTAACCATGTTCCTGTTTCGAAATCTAATAAGAATTCAAAAGAAGTTGTAAGGGGATTAAACAATGCAGACGACATACATTTCACAACATTCGTCCATCCTTGTATGCATGCCCTTAAAGCCATGAAAGCATATCTAAAGTGGCCACTTGTGTCGACTTCAATGCCAGTTTTAGACCTAGGATTCTTTTCCATAAACTCATTCGTGAACATCGGAAGCTTCCTATATGATTGATCAGGATTGTCCATTACCACCTCAAGTGCGTGTTCTCTTGCCCTCCATGTTTTTCCATATTTCAAAGACGAGAAATACATTTCCGAGCCCAGCAATTGCTTTGTTCAGATTTCCAAAAACTTTGTTCAATTAAGATTCCAAATCCCCAATAAATAATGATCGAAATATGAAGATAGTCTTACGATACAAAGAAAACAGATTCAACAACTTCCACAGTTTCAGCCAAGTCCCAAGTTAGAAACAGATTCAGCAGCTTTCAGCCAAGTCATTTGCCTCCATAACAATCAAGTAGCAGTTATGTCCGATTATACCTTTTTAGTTGGTAAGAAAATTAGTTAGATACAGTTAGTTAGTTAGTTAGAATAAATACAGTTAGTTAAAACTGTTGTTAAAGTTCAGTTGCAATGCTGTTGTAATCTGTCTATAAATGTAAGCACATTTCATTCGATCCAAAAATAATAATGAGAATTCGTCTTCTTCTCTATTTTCTTTTATCACTCATAAGCTTAAATTGTGGGTCTCAATTCAGAAATTTAACATGGCGTCAGAGCATTTTTTTTTTCAATAACTCCAGCTGAGATTCTGTTATTTCATCTTCTTCCCTGAGTAAAAACAAACCATCGAGATAATTATACTTCTTGGAGCCATTTTAATCTCTGTGGCACTAAGTGTCAAGAATAAGCCAACCTTCATTGATGGTTTTCTACCAGCTTCAAGTTCACCAAGTGGTGTTATATACAATTGTTGGATACGTGCTAACGATCTGATACTATCTTGGTTGTTAAATTCAATCAACAAAGAAATTTATCAAAGTTTGTTGTATATTTCATCTTCCTGTGAAGTATGGAATGAACTCAAAACTAGATACATTCGTAGTGATGGTCTTAGAGTGTATCACTTGAGAAGTCCCTCAACTCCATTTCTCAAGGCTCACAGCCATTAACCACATACTACAATTCATTTAAGGCCACTTGGAACGAGTACATCAACTACAAACCACTCCCAAAATGTAGTTGTGGAAATCTTTCCAACCTTACCTTTGATATACTACGCAACATATCTAATACACAGCAATCAGATGTTGTTATGAAGTTTCTCATTGGGCTAAATGAATCCTATTCAGCATTAAGAAGCCAGTTGCTACTAACTTCTCCACTTCCATCATTAGCTCAAGTATATGCCCTTCTCCTTCATGAAGAAAGGCAGTGAGATCTACTTGCTCACTCACTCCCAAAATCAGTTGCAATTACAGCAAGACAACCTCCCAAAATATTTATTAAACCCCCACCTTGGAAGGATAAAAAGAAGCCTAAATGTACTCATTGTGGTTATCTTAATCACACTGCAGATAAGTGTTTTCAACTCATAAGCTATCTCCCAGGCTGGAAAGGTCCTAGAGGATCAAGAATGTTAATTGATACTCCTACTGCCCATGATGTAGCAATAGGCCAACATATAGATGATGGTGGACCAAGAAATCTATTCAATCAAGATCTTTACCAGCAATTCATACCATTTACCAAAACTCAGCAAACACCATCTCCAGGAACACATAACCCCACATCAGCCACTATTATCATCTGTAATATCTCTTTCAAACTAAGAAATATTTCCTAGATAATTGATATAGGTGCAACAGATCACATGATCTGTTCACCAAACCTTTTTACTTCCATTAATTCAACCACAGGTAGCAATGTTCACTTACTAAATGGCTCATCTGTACCAGTCAAAGTCCAAATTTCTGAAAGCCTAACTCTTGACAATGTTCAATGCGTACCTTTTTTTTTCATGCAACCTTATTTTAGTTTCCAAATTAACAAAGTCTTCTAACCTGCGTGTATTATTTTTTTCCTCTCATTGTTTCGTACATGATCTATCCAGCATGAGGATGACCAATTTTGCTAAGGAAAGAGGGGGCTTATATCACCTACTGATTAGTCATGATCAATCTATGCCCAAATCTATCACCAATCAAGTAGCACATGCCTATCTACATTCCAACTATGACCTACGGAATCACAAGCTTGGGCATATATCCAATGCAAGAATGTCCAAGATCCCACAGATTCCTTCTCAAATGCTTTGCAACAATTTACATATATGCAAAGTTTGTCCTCTAGCAAAACAAAAGAAATTACCCTTTTCCCATCAATAAATCAATATCAAATAAGATTTTTGATTTAGTCCATTGTGACATTTGAGATCCATTTAGTGTGCATTCTTTCAATGGTTATAGATTTTTTCTTACTTTGGTTGATGATTATTCCATATGCACATAGGTTTTCATGATGTAATCCAAATTTGAAACTCGTGACCATATCAAAAACTTCTACCAAATGGTCATTACTCACTTCAATACTAGAATAAAATCTATTAGATCAGACAATGGTATTGAATTCCTCATGACAGATTTTATCAATCTCATGGGATCCTCCATCAAGAAAGCTGTGTGGAGTCACTCCAGCAAAATGGAATAATAGAAAGAAAGCACCAATATAGCACTTCTTTTCCAGTCTAATATTCCTCTTATCTTTTGGAGTGATTGCATACTTACATCAGTATACATCGTAAACAAGTATCTAGACAATAATTTGCAAAGCTCACTACCAGCCTCATTTCATATGGATATCACCGAGCCAAGTCAGATCCTTCTTTATTCCTTCGTACTACTAATGATTTATTCATGGTGCTCTTGGTTTATGTTGATGATATCTTATTTGCAAGTAACAATCTCAATGAAATTCAAGCTCTCAAGAATCTTTTGGATAATCAGTTCAGAATTAAGGACTTAGGTAAGTTAAAGTATATTTTTGGATTGGAAATTGCTAGATCACAGAAGGGAATAAGCCTTTGTCAAAGAAAATATGCTCTAGATATATTGGAAGACTCTGGCTTGGCTGCAAACCTGTAGCATTCCCAATGAATTCTACCCTCAAGCTAAGTTTTGAAGACAGCAACTTCCTAACTCATCCCTCAATTTACCAAAGACTCATTGACAGATTGATCTAGCTCACAATCACCAGACCTGACTCGTTCTATTCAGTCCAAATCCTTAGTTAATTTATGTCTAAACCTACTCAATCACATTTGGATGCAATTTACAAGGTTCTCAGATACATTAAGGTTATTTTTTCCCAGCAATTCGGACCTGCATCTCAAAGCTTACAATGACAGTGATTGGGCAGGTTGCATTGACACTAGGCACAGCATCACTGGCTTTTCCATTTTCTTTATTGAACCTTAATTTCATGAAAATCCAAGAAACAAGCTACGGTTAGCAGGTCTTCTGCTGAAACTGAGTATAGGGCACTTGCTTCTACAACCTTGAGGCCCAATGGTTGGTCTACCTTCTACAGGACTTAGGTGTCCATCATGATCAACCTGAACTCCTATATGCTAACAGCAAGTCAGCATTTTCCATCGCTACTAATCCTGTTCAACACGAAATAACCAAGCATATTCAAATAGATTGTCATTTTGTTCGAGAAAAACAACATATTGGTTTGGTTAAGATCATCCATGTTCCTTCCCAACATCAGCTAGCAGATGTTTTAACAAAACCCCTTGGTTCTGCATTGTTCACAATGAATATCTTCAAGATAGGCATTCTCGACATACATACCCCTCTTGAGGGGGATCTAACGATACAGAGAAAACATATTTAGCAACTTCCACAGCTTTAGCCAAGTCCTAAGTCAGAAACAGATTACACGGCTCTAGCCAAGTCAGTTGCTCCCATAACAATCAAGTAGCAGTTATGTCTGATTATACCTGTTTAGCTGGCAAGAAAATTAGTTAGATACATTTAATTAGTTTAGTTAGGTAGAATAAATACAGTTAGTTAGTTAAAATTATTGTTAAAGTTCAGCCGCAATGCTGTTGTAATCTGTTTATAAATATAAGCACATTTCATTCGATACAAAAAATAATTGTTAGAATTCATCTTCTTTTCTATTTTCTTTTATCACCCCTAAGTTCAATTTGTGGGTCTCAATTCAGAAATTTAATAGATAGGCCTTGAAAAATCATTCTATATGGATTCAAATTTCCAAAATGAAGATAAATCTTCTTTAGCAAGAACGAGTAGGATGATTTGGGTGGGTGGGGGTGTTGGAATGACGAACGTTATATACATGGTAGCAACTTGTAATTTTTCTATCTTCAACCTTTGAATAATTATCGGGTTTCATCCTAAAGGACAATTTATGCTTCACATTTATATTCAATCTCTCTCACCCTTCATTCTTCTTCGAGAAGCTCACCCCCCACCCCAACCTGCCACCGTCACGTGTTTCAATTTTCTTTCATTAGCTTTACTAAGAAAGTGATTATTGTGCTAAAACATGTTATATTTGACTTGTAAAAGTTATTAGAATAACCAACTAGCAGTATTAAAAGCTTAATTGAAAATATTAGACGTCGGTAGCTCAAAATCATCAAAACTCTTTATATTAATAGTCTAATCTTTTATTTATTTTCTCATTCTTGTAATTAATGTAAGAGAAACATAAAATTGTCCTTTAGGAGTTAAGACTAACCTCACTAATAATTCAAAGGTTGAGGATAGAAATGTTACAGAATTATTAAGGACAAGATTAAAGACTGGGGATCATTTCTGTAATTTAACCTTATACCAACTGTACAAATGGATGGTGACACCCCATTTTCTCTACGAGGCAAAATTTTCCATGACGATCTCATACTACGAACACATTCATATATAGAAATGACGCATGTATGGAGGCTCGGATAAGCATACCGACTCGAAAGTTTCTGCCTTTTCACCTCTCTCGCTCTCTCAATTCTTTTTCTTTATTTCGTGAAGGTCATCGTTGAAATCTGGTACATTCTTTCTTTCGTTTGTTAATTTAATTTATTTATAGCCCGATTGATTCATCTTAAATTTCTGTTTAATATCTTAATGATTTACGAACGATTCTTTGCTACTCTCTATTGTTTCAGGTGAATGTGGGAAAATTCAGGCTCAGGAGATTTAATAGAAAGATCCCGTCTTCTTTATCTATTGATTTTGGAGAAAAGGAGAAATATACGTTGAATTATGGCTTTTGATCAGAACTCAATGCTCAAAGAATTGCGACCATTAAATATACCTAGAACAGTGCCCGAAGATCCACGCATTGTACCAGGTACCTCGTCCGGAAGACCCATTGACGGGTTTTATGATGTCGGCAGTAGCCCGGATTCTGCGCCCGTGGTCTATTATGCGGCTGCAGTTTCTGAAACTGGATTTATACCTGTACGAGCCGTTCCCGGGGTGACTGGATGGGTCTCCCATACTGCGCCACCCCAACTGGGTGGTGCTGGGATTAATTCGACTAGTGGGTATGTTTATAGTCCGCCTTTTCTAATGCCCAGTGGTGGCAGTTCTGATCAGGCCAGTGATGAGGGCAGTGAAGAGATAGTGTCGGGGCGAAAAGTTAAGTTTTTGTGTAGCTATGGAGGGAAAATATTGCCGAGGCCAAATGATGGGGCATTGAGATATGTTGGTGGACAGACGAGGGTTATTAGTGTTAAGAGGGATGTGAGTTTTAGTGAATTGGTTCGAAAAGTAGATACAAATGGGCAGAATTTGGTTATTAAGTACCAGTTGCCGGAGGAGGATCTTGATGCACTCGTTTCAGTTTCATGTCCAGATGATCTTGAGAACATGATGGATGAGTATGAGAAGTTGGTCAAGAGATCTTCAGATGGATCAGCTAAATTGAGGTTGTTTTTGTTTTTACCTTCCGAGGTCGAGTCTTACGGTATAGTGCATATTGGGGATTTGCAGGATGGTGGTCAAAGCTACGTTGAGGCCGTGAATGGGATTATTGATGGATTCAGTAGTAGTGGTGGTGTCAATAGTCACACTGCAAGAAAGGAGAGCATTAGTAGTGCTGGTTCGACCCAGAATTCTGATATAGGTGGTACCGAGGGTTCCAATAACTTGGGTCGTGGTCACGGGGAGGTTATATGTTCATTATCTACAAGTGGGTTATTGGTTGGCGGAAATTATACTGTCTCTCGTGAAACGTCTCCAAGAACGGCGTGTGTTGATCTTAGTCCTTCGGTACACGTGGATACTTCTGCTGCTCCATCTGTACCTCTTACTGATCTACAGCCACAGGTAGCATATGATTTGCAGCAGCTCGGAGTGCCTTGTCCCACATCTTCACCTTATGCAGAGACTTACGTGGATCCTCGCCAAGAGGCTTTAAACCATGCTGATTATGCACAACTTCCTTCTCAGATGGGGTTCCCAGCTCAGATTTTCGGGGCAGTTGGGCCCGTGCTCACCCAACAACATATCCCTGCCGGAGCTTTGCCTGAGCAGTTTCTAACTGCGGTACAAGTGACTACTAATCCTTCTTTGGTCAGTATGAAACCAAACTCAGGTAGTCCTCTAGTTCAGCCCCAACAAATACATTTGGAGAATTATCCTACAGAAAGTGCGCAAGGACTAGTCCAACTTCCTACTCAACAAGGGTATAATGCACTTAATGCTCAGGTCCCAACAGCACTGCCAGGAGAAGTGTACGGGTGGCAACAAGTTCCTCACTCTGAGAAGGTAGCCTTAGTGGAAGGCGGGTTGCCTTCCCAACCAGTTCTGGTATCTGGAAAACTTCCTGGACTTAAAGACTGCTATATGTGTCAAAAAGCATTGCCACATGCTCATTCGGATACAGTGGCTCAGAACAGAAAAGAAGGCTCTCCAACCACCTCATCTGACTCGAGATCGATTTATAAAAGCCTCCGATTGGATCATCGAGGACGACCGATGAATATTGAGCAACTGGTAGTCGGGACTCAACCGAGAGGTATGGGTTATGCGGATCATGAAACTGGGAAATTTCAAGCAGAGGGAATTGGATCCTCCCAGAATGTTGATGGACACTATGGAAATGATAGAATTGTTCTTCAGAAGGTAGAGAATCCTGAAAACTCCAATGTATCAGTTCCACAGGGAATGATGGTGACCACTGGCATACAATCTCCATATGGTGTATTTGCGGCTAATATTCCTCAAATGTCCCAAGATAATGCTGTACAACAAGTAGTCGTTTCTCCTCAACACCAGGTTATACACGATACCACTATGAACAAACAAGTTAACGATGATCTTTCCCCTGTTGGAGGCATGCCTTTACATGATTACTCTTTTAAAGTTCCTGGATCAATTACTAAAGAAGATTCTACTTCCACTACCCTTAACCATCTAAGACAAGTTGATGGGAGTTTGGAAAGTCTCTTGAGACACCCTTTTAGAAAGGAAGATGTACTAGAAAATAGACCCCAACAGGTTGCTAGGAGGGGACTTCCTAACACACATAATTTTCCATCAGTAGAATCCTATGAATCAACAGAACCACCCGTTTTAGGTAATCCCAATTTGTACCCTCATTCAAATCTTGGGATTAATCATTGGGCTCTTCGTGGGATTTCTTCTGACAAGTCTGTGTATTCTGGTGTTGAGTCTGATCCTGCAACTGAAAGGACTCCACCTATTGGTGAATGGAAGGAGGATACTGCCACTTGGTCTCAGCCTAGGATTTCTGGTGATGTAGAAGCTGGAACGCATGGAGGAAACAGGCCATTGGCTGCTTCTCCAGATGTGCCAGATAACTCAAACTACAATGCATCATTTCAGTCCGCTGGCAAATTGAACAAGGATTTGTATTTGGAGCACGTTATCTCCAATAAAGGCAAGGAACCATTTTCTCTATGTTTCATTTGCCTGTAGTCACCTTACTGTGTGGTTACGCATTAGCATTTTTCTTAATCAAAGAGAATCAACAGATGAAATGAACAAGCAAGAACATCAAGCTGTAGTAGAGATTGTAGCTGCTTCTGTTCTTCATTCATTTGTGCCTTCTAACCCTGATCTATTAGTAGATGCCGGGATTCAGTTCGCATCTACCCAGGAAAAGAGTGAAGTTCAAAGCTCTAGCACAGAAGTGCAGCAGAAAGATATCTTTGACGTTTGTATTTGTCTCTCCTCTTTCTCGTATAAGTATTTTTGCATTAAAACGGTATGGTACTTGTTTAGCCATTTATTTTTCAGGATATAAATACTAATTTGTCAGAGAAGATCAGTCTTGGGTCTCCTGTATCAGATAGCATTGGTCGATTACAGGTTTGTGATTTGCTGTTTGTAATCCTTCATTATCCTGGCAATATCATCTCGTCTAATGTCTCTTTCTGTCACCCGTTTATCTTATCCAGTTTTCTTTTCTTTTCTTCATTGCACTCAGATAATTAAGGATAGTGACCTTGAAGAGCTACGTGAACTGGGTTCGGGTACCTTTGGTACTGTTTATCATGGAAAGTGGAGAGGCACTGATGTGGCAATTAAACGAGTCAATAATAGATTGTTTGTAGGGAAACCTTCTGAACAAGAACGCATGGTCAGTCCCTACACCTTTCACAATTGATAGTCTTGAAATTCAAATGATAAATTGCTTTTGTACTTCGCTTACGTTTTCAATTTACTGCCTTTCATATAAATAATCAGATAGATGATTTCTGGAATGAAGCTATCAAGCTTGCTGACTTGCACCATCCCAATGTTGTTGCTTTTTATGGTGTCGTGTTGGATGGTCCCGGTGGTTCAGTTGCGACTGTTACTGAGTATATGGTTAATGGTTCGTTGAGAAATGCTTTGCAGAAGACTGAGAGGTAATCACACTTCTGTGTCTGGTTTGAACCTTCTACTGTAAACATTTGTTGTTTGCTTGGTAAGTTGAATGATAGAGTTTTGGACATTACTAAATCAGAAAAAGAAGCTACATGTTGTGTATTGTACTGGACAATTCCATGTACCAAACATGATCTTGTGGATTAATTTTGTCTATTATATTTCTTCCTTTTTGGTGATGGTATTTTAGTCTTATCATTTGAACCTTAACATGAAATTTAGGTATAACATTTTTTAAACCCACAAATAATGTTATCAGGATTCTTGATAAGCGCAAGAGGTTAATGATTGTGATGGATGTTGCTTTTGGAATGGAGTACTTGCATGGGAGGAATATAGTGCATTTTGACTTAAAAAGTGATAATCTATTAGTTAATCTCCGTGATCCACATCGGCCAATTTGCAAGGTTAGTGACTCCATGCAATTTTATTCAGTTTCATTTGGAGTAATGTACACAGGTGACATGCTTACAGGTTTTCTCTCTCTCTCTCTCTCTCCCCATGATATTAATCTATAACTGAACACAACAGTTACCTTTTTTTTGCTGATTTGACTAGTTTAACAGATACTGAAGATGTTTGAGTTTAGTGCTCATTGTTAAGTCGTTATCACTTGGAATATGAAATCTAATTTTTCTGTATGATACATCAAGCATCGTCAAAAATACACATTAGACGAGCCCTTAGCAAGATCTACCCTAAGATATGAGCCTTTATCAACAGTTACAAAATAATACACTTCTAAAACAAAAATGACCATGAAAAAAAAACTGCAAGGCCTAACTGAATCTTGGCAACATGCTTTCTCAACAGTACAAAGAAAGACTAAAATTTTTCTAGTTTTCTTTATCTTTCATCCCAAGATGCTCTTTATATCATGATCCCATATGTATTAGATCCTTCGTATATTTTACTGCATTCTTGCCTTTTTGTCGTAGTTTCTTTTTCCTAAGTTGATTAAGCTGCTGATCCTCCCCTTCCACTACACAGACTCTCAAAAAATTAATAATAACTAAATAACGATAAAGGCAGTACAAATTTCTGTTAAAGAGCTCTTACATAGCACCAAAAAGGAAAAAATCTACAACGGATTCTATGCATAGGGGAACCACGACTTCATAAAACTTAGCTTGTTGCCACAACTTCTCTAACGCATTTGGAGGGACAAATTCTTGCTTAATATGGTTGGGAGAATGTACCAGTTGCACATGTGAGAATCTCACTCTCTGAATTACGAGGTAGACTGGATGACATGTGAAATGTTGCAAGCTGTTTTTAGAAATTAATTGACCTGATTTTCTGGAATGATGAATCTCATTTTTTTAAAAACATTAATATGCTGATGTTATGGCTACACAAGGGGTACCAGGGAGTTCGGGGATACTGTTGTCTAGTGTACCTGTACACATCCTCTTCATTTCGACCATCCTATTATTTTTGTGGGAATGTTGAATGTCTTCGAAGCAATCATCCACACAATTAGAAGAATGTGCATGTGGAAGCTGTGCATATATGTCACACAAGACAATAACTTACATCCAACCGAAGTCGGCATTGCAGTAGATTAAGCTGTCTTATTTTTGCATTTTCCCAGCTAGTATTTTTTTCATAAAAGCATGTCTGAAGCTTTGATCATGGACATTCGAACTTGGACAGTAGTTTTTTGCATAGATGACATTTAATTGAGATGTAGTACAAGAAAATGGATAGCATTCCATGATTTCTGAAAATGTTGGTCCATCAACATTGATAATTTTGCCATGGTATACCTGTAAGTTTCATGTTGTTACATTTGGATAACCAATTTGTTCATAGAGTATATTCTGACATTGCATTATACCAGTTACAAAAGGTGCTAGTGTCAGAAGCAAAATCATGATTCATCATCGTCATGTGTATCAATAATTACTAATATTTTTTTTTTTCAATTATTTGATGATGTCGTAGACTGGAAGTTGGTTGGTATATTATTCAGTAAATCTTCATTCTCGTCCTATTTTCCAGAGTAACCATGGATATAAATAGGATGTAACCGAGAAGTCTAGTTCTGAGGTATGCCCAAAAAATTGGAATAGTAAACTGGACAATGCAGACAAGGAAAATTGCAACAGAGGTGCCCAACCTATTGGTGTTGTCTGAAGTTGGTCTCCAACATTTATTTCTTGGCATTTATTTTTCCAACCTTTCGATTTTGTAACACCTTTGTCCTCACTGGATGGTTTTCATCCATGTCACTATGAACAAGCATAACAAATGTAGTTTCTGATTCTTTATTCCTTCTTGGCTCCCAAGCTGGCAGATCCCAAGATGTTCCTGACGATACTTTGTAGCACGAAAGAAGAAAGTGGAGAGAGAAAGAGAGATGGAGACATTTTGTTCAAGCATTAGGTTTAGCAGCAGAGAGAGGGGGATGTAGGAGAGAAAGATTGGCTGCTGGAATTCAAACAATATTGGCACAAGAGGACAACTTTTTGTTAATAGTGCTTTGCTCAATAACATGCTAAGTGAGGATTAAGACAACATAGTGAAAGACAAAATAAAATGTGACACTGTTAGTGTTATATTGAACCATTGGATTTAATGTAATGAAAAATGAGCAAGTCAGGCTTTTAGATAAATCTAGACATTCTTGGGTTTTGTATTTAAGAATTTTTTAAATGGTTTTCTTAAAGGCATTAAGAAAATAATTTGAATTACCAGGAATTTAAATAAAGGAAGAATTGAAGAAGCCACTTTTAGGTTCTTGACAAGACCAATGGAACAAACTAGCATTCGATTACTAAGCCCCTGTTTGATTCCCTTTACTTTAACTTAATTTATTTCTCATACTCATTTTCAATCACATATTTACACAATAAAATATTCTACATATAAATCCAAAATTTTTTCCTACTTTTTAACTACACATTCTCCAAAAAATACTATTCAAAACATAGTTTTTTCAAATTAAAGGCCTCAAACAGGGGCTAAATATATTTCTTTATAAGGTTGTATTTTGTGCCATGCATCTATTGCACACTTCAATTTCAAAGGGGGATTCTTGTTTTTAATTTTTTCTTCGGCCAGGAGGGGTTAGTAAGTAGTGAGGTTTTTGGCATTTCATGATTTCTGTTTTGTGGGTAGTAGTTCAGATTTGCTTCTGTGTGGTGTCTTTGTAAGCATGTTTTATGGTTACATTGTGTATAATTGGATTCATTGTTCTCATATATCTTAACCATAGGTTGGTGATTTGGGGCTGTCCAAAGCAAAATGCCATACACTAATTTCGGGCGGTGTGAGGGGAACACTTCCATGGATGGCACCAGAGCTTCTAAATGGAAGTAGTAGCCTTGTCTCTGAAAAGGTTTAATTTACGACATTCTCTCATTCCAAAAGATCACTCAGGCACAGCACTCCCCTTTTGGAGGAAGAAAATAACTATTAGCTGATTCTATAAAATGATCAGTCTAATATGGTTTCCCAAGTATTTAAATGGGAAAAATCTTGGTTCTTTCTGAGATGTTTTGATCTGTAGGTTGATGTGTTCTCATTTGGAATGGTGATGTGGGAACTTCTTACTGGAGAAGAACCATATGCAGACTTACACTATGGAGCCATCATCGGTAATGTCCTTTTCAATTCTTCTTGGCCTCATTCAAGAATTGTTCTTGATCCAATCCGTAATCACTATTTCAAGCAAATCACTTGTGATACACCAGATCTGGCAGGGTCATTGATAGTGTGAATAGATTTAGTCATTACTTGAGATCTCGTGTTGTATACGTTTTTCAATCATTGTTTCTTGCCTTCAATTTTGTTAGGAGATTTTAGCTATATTATGCTTGCTTTATCATGGTAGGGGGTATTGTGAGCAACACGTTGCGTCCTCCAGTGCCGGATTCATGCAGCCTGGATTGGAGATCACTCATGGAGAGGTGTTGGTCGTCTGAACCATCTGCAAGGCCGTGTTTCACTGAGATTGCAAATGAATTACGGTCCATGGCAGCTAAGCTCCCACTAAAATGACAAGTTCAACAGCCACTTCCATAGACAAATAATCACTTAAAACATAATCCACTTTGCAGTTTCAACTTGCCAAGGTTCTCACTAGCCTTCATTTTTGGTAAACCAGAACATCGCGCCTAATATTGTTTTTAGCTGCTTGCATGTTATGCTCAGAAAGTAGAATGTTTGTATTTTCTTTCTAATGATAATAAGGTCTTTGCTCCAATAACATCCTCCCTTTTTTGAGGTAGCCATGTTGTAATGTAATCGTAGCAAAAGAGATGAAACAAACTGCATAAAAGCTGAAATCTAGAGTGCAGAAGATCAAAATGAATCTCTTACCATGGATTGATCCATCCCGCACCTCCCAGAAACCCAACCGTGTTTACCATTTTCATGATGCAACGTGAGCAAGAAACGAGCATTCAACTGTGTTTGGGAAACTTGTGTGGCAGACTACAGAAATAGTTAATTCATACACAATACTAAAAGAAAAAGTTCAGCTGTGGCAATAATACGCGACATGAACAAAACTTGCAAATTGTGGGATTCTCACTGAACCCCACAATTTGTACACCAGTATATTTTTGGCGTGTTTTCAGCAGTGCAAAGCAAGTCCCTTTGTCAGTCTCAGTTCTTCGTGCTCTCCTTGACAACAATTTACTACCATTACAAACACTAAAGTAACTAAAAGTCCAATTATGCTTCCCCCAACAGCCATGCTGGATGTAGGAACTGAGCATGATATATGAACATGAAGGATGAACATGTTTATTCCATCTGAATTTTCCATTCACATAAAGCGTTCGTTGGTTGCTTTGTCACCTGCACTACTATTTAATCTCAAAATTAAGTTTGTGTATGGCTCATACAAGTATTTGATTAGGCAGAACAAGGGTTGAAATCTACCTCTTGCGTTTGCTTTTGTGAGAAGTTGATGATGAAGGATTACTGTGCCAATTCCTTTTCCTTTGGTTGATGAACCAATTGTTGATCTGTTTTAGTTGCAATCCAGTTTCCTGCACCAGTTTTGCTTTATCTTCCTCCTGAAAAGCACAGTACAACAGAACTGTTATTCACAGTACAAAAATTTTCAAACGGTAGAGCCTGTTTGGTATAGATTCTCATTTTCTACAGGAAATCAATTCTCATTTTCAACCACACATTCTTCAATAAAATAATATTTTCCATCACATCAATACTTTTTTCTTCTTTTTCAACCACACATTTTCCATCATATCGCTATTCAAAAATCAATTCTTCCCCCAAAAATCTCTACCAAACACACTCTAAATTTGGTTCTAAGATGTCAAGGATATGCATGATATATGTCAGGGCTGAATCAATTCTTAACTAAAAGAATTCCTTGGTTTTTCCGTTCCAACCAACTATAGACAGGGGTGGTTCTTAGAACATTGGTACTAGTAAACGAAAATACAGCTTCATGCCCTGATTAGAGTAGAGGATATCAATATGTCAACAGTGAGTTCAACGGGGTTAAATGTTTTGAGCTCATAGCAGCTATGGTGTTCTGTAATTATGCTTACCGTAGGATATGGCCACTTGGAATGAGTTTGCCACCATGTTTTTAAGACAGATGTAGTGTCCCCGGGAAGTTTTCCAGCTCTTCTTTTACGTAAAATTTCCTCTCTAACGTCCACGATCTTGTCCTTGTAACCCTAGAAGAAGAAATCCAACTACATTAAATAATTCTAATGATTACATGAACCTAGAGTGTAAACTGTAAAGTTAATGGTTTGTTACTTGTTTGAGCTCGTGTTTCAGTTCTTGTCGCACACGGTCCATCAAGGACCTCTCACTTTCAGTGGGCACTAAAGGACCAAATCCCATGTTATCTGATACATCTAGACTATCGTCAAACAAGTTAGTTTCTTCACCGTCGTCATCAGACATGGCTGCTCCTGTACCTTCACCTGGTGGTACCCCTGTCAAGCAATAATCGAAAAGGATCATAGTACATCAGTTGAATGATTGTGCTACATGTGAAAATCAAATGCGGGAAGAGTGATAAATGCAAATTCTAGTTGGTAGATTGAAGAAAAATAGGAAAGAAATTGCATAGTTTGCATCATTCTACCACACAATTCGAGCCAAATTTTTATTGGATAAAGAAAAACTAGAAAAATTAAGATGATCACCTGTCAAGGTTTGCAGCGATTGCTCGAGCTCCCAACAAGCCATGACTGCTTCCATTGCATGAACACGGACATGTTGTTGCAGTTGCTCTTTAAAGGAAGAGAGCAATAGAACATAATGCGTCTACATCAGAAAGAACAAGAAAATAAAAGAAAAGACAAAGGGATGATTAAGATGAAAACTTAGCAAGCAGATTGCATCATGAACTCGTGTTTCTGTAAATATAAACAAGAAAGACCGCCGATTGATAGGTAATAATGAGGACAATCGTCTTATTCAAGGCTGCATACTATACAAGTATGCAGAACAAGAACGGATAAATTCATGAAAACAAATACAACTTGGGAAAAATGAAATTTTAGCAGTTTTCATGGACTTCCAAGAAACCGTCTTGTAAAAGTATTGACCTTAGCTATGTTCTTGTACAATTGAACAGGACACGAAATATTCGAACATGGGAGGAAGTCTACGAGGGATTCCTATCCGCAGAACTGTTCACAAATTAGCCAAATTTAAAAAAAGAATTCAACTATTTCCTTTGCCGAAAGACGAGTGTAGCTTCTTGTAGATAATATGCACCCATTCCTTGACATCAGGAGTTGCGCACTTAAAGAGGATCATAACTTGTACGAATGTCAGAACTAAAATGGACATGCAAGTCTAACGAAGCTAAAGATCAATTTCATAAACAACCAGGGTAAAAAGTCGCAAGTAGAATTACATCAGGACAGATTCTTCAAAGCAATAAAATAGAGATTGAATTACAATTATTACGACTGTAAAGGAAAAGTGGTGTATGTATACCCCATCAAGAATGAAAATAAGTAGCTAACAAAATCACAGTGTATAATCAAAATTTGATGCTAGTTACTTAAAATTATTTATTCCCTATACCTCAAAACCCAAAATAGAGGAATAATTTACTTGAGTCGAGAATCCTATATTATTCATCTCTCTCACACACACACTTACTCGCATAGGGAGGCACAATAGACTAATCATTTTATAGATCCTAATCAGTTCTGATTATGGAACAAAAATTAATCCAAGAACCAAGATTGACACTTGAACCAAAAGAGAGCGATCAAATTTCTCCGTTTAAAAGAGAGAGAACTTTGTCACAATATCATCTCAAGGATTCAAGCCCAACACGCAAAAGTTTAAGCTTCGTAATCACAGATTCACAGATATATACATGTGTTATACGTATACACAGTAAGATACAAGTGTACTAGGATAAAGTAAATTGTGAACAGTACCATGAACTGGTCGAGGTCTTTATCATCAAGGGGCTGTTGACCTTGTCCGAACAGAGAGTATTTAGCCATCACTTGTTGCGACTGAGCCAGCTGAGCGTCGATCCTCGGCAGCTGGTCCACCGGCGTCGCTATTCTTAGGCAAGCCACGTGCGCCGACAGTAGTTGTTCATACAGAGGATGATTCATAATATCCGCCATGCATTTCTCTTTCTCCCAGTTATTACTATTATCTCCTCCTCCGCCGCTGTCTTGATGACGATCACCGCCGCTGACATTCGTTTCGGCGGTGTCGGCGGTGGTTGGTGGGCTGGGTTGACTTTGAGTGGAGAGCCACTGGTGGGGGTGGGATTGGAGGATGGAGCTATTGAGCCAAGTAGATGGTGGTTTAGTATGGCCGTCCGGGGAGGAGTGTTGGTTGTGCTGATAGACGGCGGAGGACTGGTGGTGGTGGTGGTCGGGGAAGTGGTGGTGGAGGGCCATTTCTTGAGAGAGATGGTGGTCCGGAAACGCCATGTCTGGTATGATGAGCCTATACAATAGCCTACCAGCTGATGATACTAAGAGTAGGGAGAGAAAAAGTAGAGAGGGAAAAAGTAATTATAATTCATTTTCTTGTAATGACAATGGCCATTTTCTTGTAATGACAATGGACGTAGAGAAAGCGAGAGCTTTTAATTAATATAAAAATTTGGAATTCTCAGAACAGTTTTTTGAAGGTCAAAAAATTACTTATTTCTTTAAAATTTTAGACCTAACTATTTATTGTTCAAACAAAATATAGGCTTGTTTGAACCCCTTTTTTGTTAAAAACAAAAAAAAAACATTCTTCAATAGTGTATTCATGGGAAATTTGTGATTAAAAAATAAGGAAAAATTTTGAATTTGCGTGTAATGTTATTTTATTATAAAATATGTTGTTGAAATGATGTTAAAACGCTATTCAAGAATACATTTTTAGAATGTTCTTCGACATTTTTCGTGTCATTGGAAGTCAGAAGATGCGAACCCTAATTTTGATTAAAAATAGGATCGATCTGACTAGTATAATTTGCAGTAAAATATTTGACACGAAACATAATATTTTAGGCTAAAAATTGAAGTATAATTCAAGGAGTAAGTTATGGTCACTATTTATAAATACAACCATGCTATAAGTACAATTTTTTTGACATCAAGTTTAACAATGTGCCACATGTTGAAGGTTGAGTGGCCAGTTTTTAAACACCACACAGTTTCCCGCCCATTCGAATTTGAATTAACATGAATTGTCAAATTTCTTGTCAACCATGAATTGTACACAAAGCATTATTCTTATAAATATTGTATAGGCATAGAATCGTGGAAAAGGTAATTAAAAAAGGTTGATAATTCTCTATATAATAATAATAATAAGCTAGTTTGATTATAGAAATGTTGTTAACTGTTGCTTAATTGGATGATTAGCCAACCCCCACCTCTAATTATAATTGGGTAGAGAAATCAATTATGCTTTCTAACAATCATTGAACTTTAAAAATTTTAAAACAGCTGTTGTACTTTCAAAGTTGTTTTCTAATGTTGTTTTTCCTATGTACATACTACATGTATATCATTTTTTACATCATT